ACGGTGTACCTATTCTTGCTGAAAAGCATCAAATTAAGAATTCCCAACTATTAGTCTTTGGTAAAAACAAATGGATTCTGTATCCATCCAAGTTGTCCACTAATTTTATTAATAAACAGCAAGTTGTCCTCCTAGTTGTCCACCTGTATTACGAGTCAACTTAGAGTAGTTCGGCAGATAAAGCCAACCTCCTAAGCTGCCCTAAAAATTATTGTTGCATCCCATGAATAAGATACCATTTCAGCTCTTGATCCCAAGTTCATAAGAGTAAGCTCGAAGAATAATACATAAGCGCTGGATCTTTGGGAATATATTGGAGGACATAAAACAGGCAAAGAATAAATATTAGCAGTTTCCTTAATTTGCTTGATGGCACAAGACACATTCCACATTTCTGGCTAGACTGTATTGCCTCAATTGATCATTGGTCGTCAAATTCCCCTTGCAAAGCAATAGAATTAGGTACAGAAGCAAATTAATATTGCGTACAATTCTTCTGCCACACCACAGCATCTGAGTACTTCGTCAATAGGGCTCCTTTGGGTGCCAATTATCAAGCCAAACAAATTATCCCTTTTGTTTCAAAGATGCACCTTATTCTACAGTCTACCAATAGATCTTTTTTGTAATATATTCCTCCATATCCATCCATGGTCATTTGGAATTAGCCAATCGTGGAGACACTGTCGGGGCATTGAGGAGGGGACAAGGGGCCGGGGATAACGGAAGCGGGCGATGAGGCGAAAGCGGGAAAGATTTTAGAACGCGATGGGGGACAAGAGAGGATTTCTTTACCCCAAATTTGCCATTTTTAGTTATTATTTTGTTCTTTTCACTTTATACCGATATTTTCACCCGTCAAACAACTAATAAAAACGAAAATCTTTAAAATAAACTTGCAAATTCCAAACAATTATTTTAAATTTTGTAAAGCATTCTCTATGAGACCCAAAAATTACTTAAAACATGAATACCTAGATTATCTCCGTAAAGCATTAAACTACTATATGTTTTCTAATGGAACTGAGTAATTAAAGGACTGAAAAGTACAGAGCTAATCTGTTTAAAGGATGGATTACAGACAGTTGACCAAGTGCTAGTTGAACATTTTGTCATTCAAAACTCATCTAAGATATTTTCTTAACACCCACATGCCGTTTTCCGTACCGATGTGGATTTCGAACAGCTCCGGAGTCAATCGCCCTTATCCGTGTTATCTTCTCAGATTTATCTACATATAGCGAGTGATTATATCTCAAGATCCAAATCATTCATCTATTCTCAGAAGTCAAAACTCCAAACTTCAAAACTGTACTACAGTCTACAGTGAAGAAAACCCTTTTCTTTCTTTTATTTCTTTTTTTCAATATTGTCCTCTCGCCAGCAGCTGAAGCGCCTGATCCGGTGCTCGACATCGACGGAAAGAAGTTCAGGGCAGGCTTGGACTACTACATTTTACCAGTCATCCGTGGCTGAGGTGGCGGCCTTACTCTAGCCAGCCCGGCGGGGGATACTTGCCCTCTCAGCGTGTTTCAGGAGCAATTGGAAGTCAAACCCGGCCTCCCGTTGATTTTCACACCAGTCAACCCTAAAAAGGGTGTTGTTCGTGTTTCCACTGATTTAAACATCAAGTTCTCAGCTTCAACGACTTGTGTTGAGTCAACTGTGTGGAAGCTTGAGTATGATGAAATATTAGGGCAGTACTTCATATATGATGGTGGAGTTGAGGGAGACCCTGGTCGTGACACTCTAGACAATTGGTTTAAGATTGAAAATTTTGATGATAAAGACTATAAGCTTGTTTTTTGTCCCACGGTTTGCAAATTCTGCAAGGTGATATGCAAGAATGTTGGCTTTTTTGTTCAAGGTGGAACTAGACGTCTTGCTTTGAGTGATGTACCACTCAGGATTATGTTCAAGAAAGCTTGAAAAACGAAGATGTGTCGTTAACTTGTTATTGTAATTTTATCCTTGACTTTTTTCTTCCTCCTTTTCATGTGAAGGCGTGACATAATAAGGAAGCATGTATGATTTATATTTGTCTAGTGAATAATACTATATCATTTAATCATATAGAAGCCTTCATCTGGTGATCCCTTCCTTCTGGGCTTTTTGGGTTCAAATCCCTATTGGAGAAATTACTTATTTTCAACTTCCCCTCAATTCATCTCATCAATTGTTTGAACCACCATAATTACAAGTAATGTAATTAAGCCTTGAACGCATGGATGTAATTTAAGTCTTACAAATGCTCTCTCGTCTTGGTTAACCACATGCATATTTTTTTAGTTTGTAAAAATAATATGTTACATTAGAAATGTCAAAATGGGTGACTCGAGCAGCTTTAGGCGGGTTATAATTGGGTAATGGACATAATTAGATCAATCCATTTATATTCATTTAATAATTGGATATGGGTATATCCATTTATCCATTTATAAGTCACTTAATTCTACTTATTTCTTTTTATTTTTCGGATGTTGTTTAATAAGAAATAACGGTATTTTGTTGTTATTAAATTGATACAAAATTTAAATTTATTTACTTAACATTCACTAAAAGTTGAGTTTAAATGTATAATTATTTTTAAATAGATACAAATAGGTGAACCAAAATCAATCCACTATTCACCAATTAAATGTATTTAATTGAATACTTATTTAAATCCATTCAAATTTAATGAGCGGATTTGAACAAATTATTAGTGGGCAGATCTGGACGGGTCAATGTTATTGAGTTGTAATTGACATATCTAAATTACATGCAATAAACCGCTCCTTCAATAAATAAAATTACCTGTAATTGAGTTGTAATTGACACGTGGTATCGTTTTGTAGCTTCTCACAAAAAATTGTCAAGTGTTCAAAAAATCTATGACCACAATAATATGGTAACTTTTCAAACACTGAACGCGTATAGTTTTAACAAACAACGAGAATATCTATGAGAAGGAACTACGCCTGTTGCCCCCTTTCTATGGATCTGGGGTGGTACAGTTGGGTCTACCCACTTCAAGTTATTGGACATTGTAGGCAGGCTAATCGATCCTTTCTGTTGGGCCTTAGTATATTTGGATCAAATTCATCTCTCACCTTTGTTAACCACGCTGAAATTTTTAGGTTATTGAAGGACTCAAAAAAAAAAAAATGTTCATTACCCACAGTTGAAGGTTAGTACAAGATTTACATTCAAGGTCTCGTGTGATATTACATATTTCTAAAATGTTTACAAAAAGGAGAGATTTGCACTTTGCAGTTTGGTAAAACTTGCAGTTTAAATGCCTGATAAATTGGGCAAAGTCAAATTGACATGAGAGGACAGGTTCTATCTAGTTTTCTGCTTTATTCTGTATTTTGTCATTTTGTGATGATACCACCACTTTGGCACTTAGAAAGATGTAACAACTTATTTTTTTATGAATGAATGATTTGATTATCAAAAAATGAAAAATAAAAGTGTCTGATTCATCGGAGGAAAATTATTTACACAATTTTTTCCTGGATCAAAACTGTTACTGAGCCTTTCTTGTCAAGCATTCTTTATTTTTTTATTTTTCTTTTGGTTCTGTGTATAAGCCTTAGTGTTCTACCAAAATGTAGAGTCTACCTCTCATCCTGTTAGTAAACTTGATTCAGTTTTGCTTCAAATAAAAAAAAAAGTGAAATATTTTCTTCAAAGACTGTTTCCTCCACACAATATTCCCTATCCAGCCACACCTACCCCAGAAACATGTAAACAAACCGCGTTAGATGCCCAGATGGATCAAGGGCGATATTCAAATATTGTACCGGCATTTTCTTCTGTCCAAGGATTCATAGTGAGAGTTTCAATAGTTTTTCCATTTTCTTTAATTATTAGATCTATGTTTTCTTTTTAAGTTTTGATTACCGGATTTGGAATTTTTTGACTCTATATAGCAGATTTTATCATGATATCTGAATTTGTACTGAATTAATCTGTAAATCTGACGATTGAAAGCATGTACAAACATTCTTGAAATTATAATTATTTTATTTTAATTTTTACTCGTTCTTTGGATTTGTAGTATGCATTCTTCTCAAATCTATTTTTTGATATCTGTATATAGTTAATAATATAATTTCTACTATTAGTGCAGATTTTAATGAAATTATAATGTTTTATAAAAAAAAAAAAACAAAGTACCTGCATTATCAAAGACAATAGACGTATATGTGAACACCGCAACCTGTAGAATCATAATAACACTTATGCCCACTTTGAAAATAATTTCTCTCATTCAAACTTAACAATCAAAATTTAGAACAATTCAATTTCCATAATTCCCATCATAATTACTCTGACTCTAGAATCAATCACAAGGTAGGATTGTAGTGAACCCTCATACTTTTAAATCTAATTCAAGTGAGTAATTCCTCTATAGATGTACACCAGGATAAGATAATAAATAGATATGCCAGTCAGATAAAAGAAGAGCAATTAATAGAGGGGTTGACTACTATCATAAATAAGTGTTGATTGACCATACTCGATTCAAACTTCAAAGTCAGCTTTGGTAGATCCAATTTTGTTCGGTTATATCTTTTATACTGGTAATTTAGTGTATGCTTACATAATTTTTTTTTTTTTTTTTTGACAAACATATGCTTACATAAGTTGTTTTATGATCACGGTTAAGATAATCTACACTAACAACAAAATTATATAAATTTAATTAAATCATGCAAAAAATACAACAACATAATATGATTGGACAAAACCCAACTTAACGTATCTTCTTTCCTTCGATGTTCATCGATTTGTCTTGTTTAAATGACAATTTTTCAAAAAAAAAAAAAATTTATTATTTATTATTATTATTTTTAATTAACTTTTTTATTTCTCATACATCAAATCATTACTATATATTTGTATAAAAAAATCTAAATGAGACTTTCTTACCTACCAAAAGTCATCAACCTTGTGCCATAGACTAGTAGGGTCACCTCCAAAGTCAATTACGTTTATCAGGGGAAAATCATATTAACCCTAGATCCCTATCAACTCCAATATTTCTCATAAATCTTCCAACTTCAAACACACTAGACATACAGCAAAGAAATGAAGGAAACGCTGCTACCTTTCTTCCTCTCATTTCTTCTCTTCACCTCATCCCCCTCTTCAGCCGCTCGACCAGCCAGTAATGCCGTTCGTGACATCGACGGAAAAAAGGTCATCGTCGGAGCCCATTACTACATATTGCCTGTTATTCGCGGCCGCGGTGGCGGCCTAACTCTTGGCAGCGCCGACAACGAAACTTGCCCTCTTGATGTCATCCAGGAGCAGTTTGAAGTTAAAAGGGGCCTCCCGTTAACGTTTACACCAGTAAACACCACTAAAGGCGTGGTCCCAGTTTCAACTGATCTGAACATCAAGTTCTTTGCTGCTACAATTTGTGTTCAGTCAACTGTCTGGAAGCTTGAATTTGACGCAGATATATCACAATACGTGATAGTCAGTGGCGGAATTGAAGGAAATCCAGGCCGTGAAACCATAAGCAACTGGTTCAAGATTGAAAAATATGATCAGGATTACAAGCTCGTTTATTGTCCTACTGTTTGTAACTTCTGTAAGGTCATCTGCAGAGATGTTGGGATATTTGTGCAGAATGGGAGGAGACGTCTTGCTTTGAGTGATGTACCATTCAGGGTTTTCTTCAAGAAAGCTGAATATTGAATATTATCCTTGTTCCCTTCGATTTTAAGTTTCTTATCCCTTTTTGTTTCAAGTTAAATTATGAGTAATAAGAAAGAATGTACAACTCCAGTGAATAAGATTTGACTCGATCTTTGTTCAAAACATGTAAGTTATCTACATGTAAATCATGTTTTGGTTTTAATAGTATTTGGGATATCATGGAAAATTTTAGTGTCTTTATTGCATACACCTAAGACAAGCAGGAGCCTTTTCTCAGTAAAAACATTCTTGAACAGTGTAACACTCTTTGGATAAATTGTAATTCAATTTTTATTACTTGTACAACTTTAAACAGAGACGTGATATTGAGTTGACGTTCGCATGGATTTGATACATATTAATTGTATGTCTATTACAAAATTGTATGAGTAGTTGACAATGAAATACAAGTTATTTAAATGTTGTTACATCAACTATTCCTGCACCTAAGTGTGCCAGATAATGGTATGGATCGGACGAAGAAATGCACAATTATTTCTTTTTCTTATTTTAGGCAAATGTATACACATGTTAATACAAATCATGAACTTGTAGCAGCATATAAACGTGTTTGGATTGAGAAGATTTGAAATAAAATAATTTGCTTCACAAATTTTAATTACCTTTTTATCTTTTCAATCATTTTTTTATCTCACATATATCACATCACAAAAATTATTTTAAATAAATTATCCAAATAAACTCCTATCCAAACAAACATGTGAATTTTGAATTTGAATACTATTATATATGGGCCTCGTGTTTTGAAGAGAGATTTAAATCATATAGTAGTAACACTACATTTTTCATACTTCGAAAATTTGGTCAAATATGGAGAAGGAACAGCACTAATCTAAACTGTGGACTATTTGGTTTCTGGATCCGGCCGATAGACTTTTCCGCAGTGTAAATCTGATACTTATATGCATATGTGCTTTGGTCTAATCTTTCTTATAGTGTTCAATTATAATTTTTTTTCAAAAGAACATTTAGATGCATATCATGTGTGCAGAAATAAAAATTTAAAACCTGAATAAAGATAATATGCCAAGTATCCAGGCCTACTAATGTAGAAAAATAAAATCTTTACACCAATGGTGTAAGAAAAATTGATCCTTGAAATTTTAATCGTTCTACGTTGAAAAGACAAAAGAAATTTTTTTTGAGCATATATGGACCATTGGTGCTCAATTTTTTTTTTTTTTTTTATAATTTGGAGCTCAATTGTTTAGTATAATATTTCTTCTCACTCTTTAAAGTTTAAAAATAAATGTGAGAACCACAACATAAATTTTCGGGACCATGTGTGTTAGGTACAACTTTTTTTGTCGGCTGATCTTCATTTCTATTTATGCTATTTAAAGAAATCCAGCGGAGTTGGTTAAAAGGATGAGCTAACTAGTAGAACTATCAATAGGTTAGGTTAGCCTAAACTCGGTTCATCCAGTCTGAAAAAAATTCACTAAGTCTAAGTTTTAAATGGACTATACAAAGTTTGAATCTAAATCTTAGGCCCAAACTAAATGTGAACCTAGCTTAAATTATATTAACCTCAAATATGATTAAAGTCCAGCCCATATACGAGTATAGTTATAGAGGTAAAAAAAAATAAGATCTATAATTTATAATTATCAATATTATGACATAACATGTCAATAATTTATATAAATTTATATAAATTCATAATTATGAAATATATATTATATATAAGGGTTACATGTATAAAACCCCAATGAACTATTATCCGAGTTGCACTTTACATCCCTAAAGTATTTTAATAGGCGCTTTACACCCTTGGTCAACTAAAAAATAATTCAAAAATTAATTTCATCCAAGTAATTGATGAAATGACCAATTTATTCTTCATTAAAAACATAAGTAACAAAATACCATTTTGGTGGGAAAGATTACTACTTTAAATAGACTAATTTTTACTTTATATCTAAAAGTCTAATTGTTAACACATAAAAAAATACTGCTTTGATTTGAATGAGAATTAAGACTATTGGGGTCAAAATAGGGGCAAAATATGGAAATATTAAGTGATTATTGTTGCAATTTTAAAATCTCACAATTTTCTTCAATGCATCATAATGCCGTAACTTCATATAATCAACAAAATTTCACTTGAAATCTTTACAAGAATCAAATTGGAGTAGAATCCAAAAATTTTCGTAAGAAATTAGAACAATAACTGCAATAAAGTTGTAGTACCAACCGAAATTGAAAACCACATATTAGTAACAAAATATTGGACTCAGAAATTTCAATAAACTCCTAAATTATTTACTTTTCCTTCATACCAAACTTTTCTTATCTAGACTAACTTGAAATATGTAGTAAAAATAGGGTTATTAAGATCAATTATTGAATTGAATTTATTCTGTTTCTTCTTTTTTTTCCTACTTCTTTTTTTTTAGTTGTCATTCAAAGTGATCATATATATATATATATATATATATATATATATATATATATATATATATTATATGTTATATGTTTTCAATTAGAATTTTATTATGAAGTGAAAATTAATCCATTTAAGGTGAGAATTTTTTCTACCAAAAAAGTATTTTTGTCTCTTACAAGGCTTTCAATGGAGGATAAATTGGTCATCTCACCAATTATTTGGATGGAGTTAATTTTCTTACTATTTTCTAACTGACTAAGGGTGTAAAGTGCCTATTAAAATAGTTTGGGATACAAAATGCAAGTAGTGCAATAATTCGTAGGAGTTTTCTGCATTTAACCCTATATATATGATTATATATATTTAATTATGAGTTTGGGCCAAACTCAATTTGAGTCCGGAACTCATATAACAGTGTGATATGAATTTGAACCCTATAATATGAGCTTGAAGCCCAAAAGTCTGAAACTCAAAATTCCATATAATTTGTAAGCCAAGCTTAGGCTTGATAAAGCCCAGATCAAAAAGGCCAATTAACGCCCCTACTAACTAGACCTTTTGACTCAGTTTTACATCTATTATTGCTACGATTATATTTTCGAATCAAATCTATCAACAACAATTTCGGATTCTAATAAGTTAATTGGCTTCTTGTTATTCCGTATTTCAATCTGCAATTCTGTTACGCAAGTAAGTTAATTGGCTTGATCAATATCCTCACCAAATAAATGTAAAGACCATCCTAATACTTTCAGAAGTAGTTAAAAAAAAGGGAGACCAAACAGAGACCAAACGGACCCTAGCTTGTTGGATTGTGATTATTTACGTTCATATTTTTCAATCAATTTTTTTATTTTATATATATCAAATTGCTATAATACAATTTTCTATAAAAATTTTTAAAAATAGCAATTCAAACGGGGATAGGAGTAGAACAAAATTTCTGTTGGACTTGCCTTCAACTGTAGAATTTGCTTGTTCCAACTTGATATCATCATCATTATTATTTTTTGGCTCTTTTTGGTCATGATATTCAATACTATATCCAGGACAAATAAATGCCAACAGTCAGTAGTGGCGAAATCAAGAATGTTTTACAGTGGGGGCAAAGGCAAGGGTAGTAATACGTAGAAATAGTACTTCTGTTTCATGAATTTCAACAAATGGTATACTTGTATTTGCCAATAAAATGATTAAACAACCACTCTCCTTCAAAAAATATATATATATGGTACCTTTTTGCAATTTCGCATGTATAGCTTTTAACTTTGTAATAATATTTTATAACCTTCTCATTTTTAACTTCATCACAAAAAACATTTTTCTGAACTTAAATAATAAAACAATTATTGCTCAACAAACTACTTCAGTACCCATTTAGTCTTTATTACATCAACTTTCTACAAAATTTCATAAAAATAGAAATGGTAATCTTATGCTCTATAGACAAAACCAGAAAATGCAAGCATAATACTAGCATTTTACCTAATTTTGATTATCATATACTTGAGAAAAGCCAAGGAATTGAGAATAAGCTCAAAAGATAAGCTAATCGTTTCTGTAATACAGCAAGAAAAAGGGTATGGTTTTGCTAGGATGGGAGTGGAAGATAAAAATTTTATATTTAGATGAAACAAAGTCTTCTTACTTTATTTGAATAATTACGATCACCGGCCACCTCCACATAATTTTATTTGAGAAGCAGAAATAGTCTAGTAAATTATCATACTGCCATGTACGTTGAAATATATATTTTTATTTTCTTGAAAACACGGCACACAAGTTATTTAGTTAGTGAATAATAAGGAACTAAATAACTAATTAAAAGACTTTTGGATTATTTAATAGCCATTCCTATCAAATAACAAAGCTAGTTATATGTTTAATAACCTCTCAAAAAATTTAATGGGTCAAAATTAAAACAATAACAAAATTATGTGGATAATAAAATAATTTTTTACGGGGCAGTGTCCTCGCACTAAATCTGCCACTATTAATAATCAGTTGCAGAGCCAAGACCAAACAACTAAACAACAAGAGGGGCTACTGTTACATGTGATGTGATAGAATGGAGTCAAATCTTATCTATACTTCCCTTCATTTTATTCAAAGGAGAAATATACTTTGTACTTTTTTTTGGTGAGGAATATACTTTGAACTTGTATTATGAAGGTCAAAGCCTTTTTTTCCCTGATAACATGACACTAATGTTTAATTTTGAATAGGTTCTATATGCTGTGTTAAAGATAATCATAAGAAAAAAAATTGCTTTTAGGTCAATATAGATAGAGGAGAGAACTTTATCGGTCTTAAAAGGATGATCAATATAAAGAAGGGAAATTTCTAAAATCAAATAGGGAAATTTAACCAGAGGAAAAGATTTTACATTACTAATGGATAGAAATATTAATCAGATTTATAAAACTTTAAAAAGTTTAAATCCCACAATAGTTTCATCAAATCTCAGAGGGTCAATTGCTCACCCTCACGTCAACGTGGCTCCCCTTGCGAACAAACATAAGGACTACTAAGCCCAAAATATATAAAAATAAGGTATATCTAGATTACTTATGTGTGCAAGTTCCTCAAAGTTCCAAAAAGGGGAATTTAAAAAAAATTCTTTTTAGCACAAATATGATTGATCATACAACTGTTGGTCATAGGTGTAGCAACAAATTTCAAGTCTATAGAAAGGTACGAGACAAGAAAAATACAAAAAAAATTTGACTATATAAATTAAAAACAATGACTTAATATCAATGTGGTAGAGAGTATCCTTCGCTTCTATTTTTCGAATATGATGCAAGGCCTTCACAAATTGTTCTTAAATCGATAGTTGACTTTTTCAAACCTTGATATAGAAGACTTGAAAGAAGAATTGTATGAAGAATTCAAGTCTTGATATGATGAATACTTGAAACACTCGAATATATTAAGTCTTGATATGAAAAAGAATGAAGAAAGGATTTCAAAACTCGAAGCTTTCATAGCCTTAGGGTTTCAAAAAATATGAGTTTGAATATATGTGTATGAACCCATTATGGGAGCCCTAATTATAATTGTGGGAATGTGTGGATTTGGAAGACGTGTATTACATGTACATCTCCATCTTCAAAGAAAAGAAATCTCATCTTGAAGACATACAAACATATAAGAACTACACCACATTAAATATTATGCCTTTATTGTATATTTATTAATAAAGAGATAAATATTAATGTGTAATTGATCAAGTTGTGAAAAACATATGATGTGGTGCAACTTAATTGGATGAACAACTTCAATATAGTCATATAAGACAGGGAAATATATAAAAAGTGTATTAACTTACATATTATCCCTCTAATAATGAGATGAATATTAAGGTATACATTCCTAATTGGCCAAATTGAAAAAATATGTGACATGACACATTTTAATTTGAAGAGTACAGTTAAGCGTATTTATTTGGCGAGAACACCTCATTTTGACATGTGGAGAAAGATAATGAACTATTAAATAATTAATCTTCCAAGTATGTGTGATATTGCCATTGGATAAAAAAATGTCATTGTTAATTTCTAGACAAATGTTACTTTCTTATTAATTAAAATTCCATTGTCTGCAAATGCTCTCTTGAAACATGTTTGTCAATACTAAATGTAGAAAAGTGACATGAGCGGAATAGTTTCGACTATATTTTATTTATTTATTTATCCTTTTGCATTTCATTTGAATGCCATGGGGCAAAATTTAAATATAAATTGCCTAAAATAAAGCCCATGAATGGACTTAACACAGCAAGTCTTTGAAAGAAATCTACTGCCCCAGTCCTCAAGTCTTCTGTTAAAGAGTTAAATAAAGTGATGAACATTTACAAGAAGTCATGCAAACAACTTCAATGACCTCTAAAGTCATCAAATAAGATCTTTGCTTCCATATCCAAAACCCGACTCATCTCAGGTACGTATGCATTGCTATCATATTCACCGCCAAGACTACTATGCTTTTCTTTCCAAATGAGTATCATTATTGGAGTTTGAAACAGTTGATTAGCAAATCTCATGATTGGAACATATATAAAGGAAAGTTGCAGTTATTTATGTTATTAGAATTTCTTATATTTTTCATATCTATTCATAATTTTTCAAATCTTTATATCTATTAAATTACAGATCTATCATTTCTGTTGCATATTTATCCTACTATTATTGTAGATTTCTATAATATAAATCAAATTATGTTGGAAAATTTCCAGCAATTTCATTGATTCATTTATTATAAAAAAAAAATGTAGTTCTAATCAAAATTCTTCATGTTAATTAGCTATTGGTGTTTCTTATTGATGGAATGTAGGGATAGGATACTATTTTTCTATCATAGTCCCTATGTATACCGTTTGTTCTTTCCTTGATTACCTTCAAGTTTTAATGTTCTAATTATTCGAATTGGTAACTTTAGTACATATCTAAATTATAAGGGATAATTTCAGAAACCTCCCTTGAGGTCTCTAACAATTTCAGGAATCTCACCTTAGGTTTCAAAAATTACACTCACCTCCCCTACTTTCACTATTTATGCTTCAAAATAGGCCCAATGGGTTACCAATTTCTTCAAATATCCTAAACTACCCTTTTGTCAAAAAGATAAAAAGGAAAAATAAAAGAGCTTTGTTGATTGCCTTTCTTCCAACACCAAAGGCAACAAACTCTTTCTACCAAAAATAAAAGTTTGGAAAAAAATTCAACTATGATGATTGCCTTCTTCCAAGCAACTTCACCACAAAAGCCAAGCAAACACCCCAATTTAAATCAAAATAAATTCTAATAATTCGAGCACTTAAAATACTATAACCTAATTTATGTCCAGTGGCCCCAACCCCTACATTTACTACACAAGTCAATTAAATCCGTCACTTAGTGCTAAACTGGATAAAACTCAACCTCAAAATTTTACCCAAAACTAACACTTCATCAACAATTAGTAGCACAGATCTTTCGTCTTTTTCTTTTTGCAGCCTCCTATTTCTTTTCTACCACCCATTTCTAAAGCCCATCCATCCCTCAAATTCTTGACTTTTGACATCACTAAGTTTTATCACCCATAATTAACCAAAATTGGATAAAATAAATAGATGCAGAAAAATCAAACCCAATACACTTAGAATTAAAAGGATAAAAACAATGAACCTAATCATATTTACAAAAAAGAGATGAGAATAGAGATAAAAGGAGAGGAAGAAGAAGAAGAAAAAGAAGGGAAGGAGGGGGATAAATAAGGGCAAGGGATAATAGATAGAATTTGGTGGTGAATTGGAGGAAGAATATTAGACAGTGAAGAATGGGTGGTAGGAATTTAGCAAAAAAGGAAATGGAAGAAAGACTAAGTTAGAAAGGAGCAAGCGTGAGAGAGAGAAAGAGAGATAGAATAAGTCAATTTTAGTTTTTCTTGAAATTTTTGAAATTTTTCAAAAAAAAAAAGTCATTAAGTATCCTATATAGGGGTAGTAGAGTACTTTTGCTGCAATAGGGGAGGTATGTGTAATTTTGAAATATTAAGGGGAGCTTTGTGAAATTGTTAGAAACCTCAGGGGAGGTTTCTAAAATTATCCCAAATTGTATTTCAAAAGTTGAAAGTGCATCGTGGAAAATTCGATGTCCTGGACAATACTTTTGCTTCTTGAATGGCAGTAACCTTCAGCCATACCTGAATGAAAATTGATAGGAATAATCTTCAATTAGAATTGGAAACCGGATTCAACAGTAGACGGCATTTTACAAAGAAAAAAGTGTCAATGTACTTGAACAATTAAACCATAGAATAGTAAAACAGTTTAAAAAAAAACCACGAATTGGAATAAAATACACTAATTTCTCACAAAAGTATACCTAAAAATATATGAATTAATCTTCTATATACTGACAATGTATACACTTTCACTATTGGATGCAGAATATATATTCGAATTTGAATTTAAAATTCAAATTTTGCATATATATCCTGTATTTAATCGTGATAGTGTACACATTATCAGTGTGCATAAAATTTACTCAAAAGATACTATGCTCACCCAAAACAATAAAAAGTTAAAAGAATTTTCTGTAATACATATAACCATACAACAATTCTATCAAGATAAACTAACTAGGAAGGTACTTGATGAATCATTTGCATGCCTAATCCTGGAGCTGCCTAGAGGAGATATTGAGGTTCATGGAGCAATTCACGTTGGTGGGTTTATTCTTCTTGAACATCAGCATTAGTGTCACTCTTCCTTTCAATGCGCGGCTGGTCAAAGGGATCCAAGCGTGTTGACTCAATTCATTTCCGAGTACATTCCCTGGTACATTGGCAGATGACAAATCTACCAGAACAGTGAATTTTTTGGATTGATCTGAAATTAGAATTTCCCCTAGGAACCACGGCTTCTCCTACCTTATAATCCTGATAGAAGAATTCAATGGTGCTATCTTGGTACTTGTAGCGACCAAAGTTTGCATTCTTGACGGAAACTTCTGCATTCATTGTTGTATTGAAAGGAAGCATTTGTGACCAATGTTGCAACCTGGAAATTCTCAAATGTTGCTGACCTCACTCGAAATTTAGGGGTCCTGACCTTCATCACAACGACGGCAAAGACCAGCATAACATCGGTTTGAAATACAGCGAAGGCTGCAACATATGCAAAACATTTCATTCGTTTCTTGCGACGTTCTTCATCAAACGCTTTTTGTCCACCATTCTGTACCATTTTGACTTTTTTGTTTAAACAAGATTTTTTATTTGATTGGGCTGCTGACATATATGAAGATGAAGAAAGATTTTGTGGTGTTGGAAATGTTCAGGCAGCCTCCATTTTGATTCCATTGGCTTCCAAATCATGTCAATTTGTGAATAGATCACATCTGCAATAGTTATATATCTGCTTATGAATATGATGAAGGGTAATGTAAAGACTTCATAATCGTAAAAGACCAAGAACCCATGAGAGAAGTTCTGCAAAGCTACTCCTAAGTTTGAGATTTTTGCATTCGATAATTATAGCTTCCATATACAACTCATATCTGCTAAGCTCTATCAAAGGCAAAGTTGAGCAAATTCCCTAAGAACTTTTAAGTACACTTAACCATCAGCTCATTGTCGATTGTGATAGATGGATTTTTGCTCAGAGGGATTACGTTCAGAATAATGTATTGAAGATGACAACGAACTCTCTGTTTGAATACACAGTATAATTCGACATGTTCATGGTTAAGTTGCAAAAAGCTTAACCGTTGCCATTAAAGAATAGTTCCAAACACTTTTTATTGTAAATCATTTGTAGTTCAAAGCCAAGTTATTCATCTTTGGTGGCCACAGTATCATGAAGAGGTCAATTCCGCCCTGAAAGAATGCTTCTCACTTCATTTGCGAGATCAATGACATGTCTATCTTCACATCCTATCATATGGCAAACAATAAGAACAATTTGTAGAAAATAGAGTTTACAGAGGATCAACTAGTCTTCTTGACATAGGCAAAACACAAAAATAGGAAACAAAACTAGAAATGGTCAGAAAGGAAGCAGCAGCAAGGAGACAGGTTTTATTTTATTTTATTTTTAACAAGTAAAATCAACTTTACCCCTAAAACAGAATCATCATATACAAAATGTTTCTACTGACATTTGAAGTTCGACCAAAAAGCATCCAAGAGTCAATGCAAATTGTCTGTCTATCCAAAGACAACATGTAAAACAAACTACAGTGTGCTCTAATACATGAATGTTTCTTTAAGCCCTGAAAATCCATCCAATCCCTCTCATTCCATGATAACCAAAACACACTTCCCAGGCAGTCCCAATCCATGGAGAGCATGTGCTTTTCTACAGGTGAGTAAAGATGAAGACTAAAAAGGAGAATAAGTTCCGTGGTAGTTTGAAGTAAAAGCATGTTACCTAAAAGAGTAAGTGCCTTTTCAAGCTGGAAAAGGTAGTCTCTGTTAGGTCCAGAGGGGCCTTCAGCACGAACAATTTGACTGTACAAAAGCAACAATATATTAGGAGGCATTGATTCCAAAACTCAAAACCAAGTGCCAATCTCATGCAATATCCAAGAGCAGATAAAAATTATAGAGGCTATTCTAGAAGCAATAAACATGAATATTTAACATATAAAACAGAGTCTGGGTATAAGAAACATGCCAAATGCCTTCTAGATATTGGCCTTTAAACAATCCATCGAAATTTCCAAGAACAGTGTATTCACTCAACCCTCCTAGAATCCCTTATCGATGATAAATTTTAGGATCTGGAAGGCTGGAAAATAATAGCTGCAACACTCCATGAAGAACAGGATCATTTTCTAACTAAAATGATTTATAAGGACAAAGCAAGAATGAGGAATGAGAAGGGTGAGAATCAAGCCCATTTCTAGGATGAGGATCAATGGCCATAAATCACTGGGCTTTAACCAAATTCCCTCAAATAGAAGAGCTTCTAACCTTAGATTTTTTAATGTGTGTCAGTCTAATTAAGTTTGGCAGCATATAGAAGTCCTTCATACCCGTAAATGTTTGAATTACCGGTCAATGTCTAAATATAACATACTAGCAGTAACAAAGCAACTAGCAGAGCTTAATGCTTAAGCAGACAACCCAAAATGCAGGAAAAATGAGGAACAGATGTACTTTGCAATTTCCTGAAGGGATGCAGGCCCAAGGTAATTCCTGTTGAGCTTCTGGTCAGCTGATGCAATATATCTAAGCATAAGTAGTGATAGTGTCAGTTTTGTCCCGATCATCTTTAACTAAAAAAATGTAGCAATCATGAAATTCTGAGAGGGTTTCTGCAACTTACATCAATACACCAGACACTACTGGGACAGTGGCAGCCCGATCCTATTACAAATTTGGAGAGAAAAAAAGATAAACCACATCACTTATTCAGAGGCGTAGTCAGTTACTAAAGTAGCAAATGCTTAAAGTAACAAAAAATCAGTACTATCATCATTAAGAAACTAGACTTACAGAAAATATATCAACATGCGCTTTTTGGTCATATTGCTTTTCCCTCACTTCAAGATACTGAAAGTCAGGTGATCAAACACATTCAGTGCGATATAAAAGTTAAGGGAAGCCAGAAATTACTGATGTACGTCTGGTCAAGTAATAGATGATCAAAAATTGGTTCTTTAAAGTTAAGCATAAGCCAGCAAAACTATTATGAATGAAATATAAAACAATAAATAGCTAACTTTAGTTGGCTCTTCATTTTGAACGGACCTAATCAAACATGATCAAAGCAAAGTGGTTGTCAATTACCAAAAGCACTTCAACTCCAAAACGGAGGAATTGTCAAGCCCAACAATCTTTCTCATTGTCAATTTATTACCGCAGCATTATTGATTCCAACTGAGAAAAATTTGTCCCAGTCTTCTTTAGAGGTTACAGCTAAAATAAGAGGATAGAGCTAGATTCCCTTCACATACTAAGTTGCTTAAGTAAAAGAAAAGAATGCACAACGCACATTTAAGACAAATCACCTAAAGAAATGTCAGTTTTTGGTTATCAAGCTAAAAGGAAAAGGTTTAGCAACAGTTATTTGGTGTTGACTTTGTGAAGAGGAGACAACTATGGAAGTCAGTCCCATAAATGCTGATGCACATTTACGTTCTCCATAACCATGGTTCAAGAGATAGCTGCAGCAATAGCAAATTGACATTTGGCAAAAAGGATAACAAGCAATAGAGGAAATTGGGTGCTTTGTTTATACACTCCTGAACAAGTAAACTTCCATAGATCTCTTCCTAGGTTCAGCTAATCATCAGTACACTCCTCACTCTTTATAGAATTTCAAATGCCATTGAAAAATAAAATAACAGGATCTGGTTAACTCTGTCAAGTTATGATTTCCAAACTAGTTCTAAACTTCAATGTATTATGCATGAAGGAGGAATTACGGAGAAAAAACACCCACAGATAAGCTCGGAGATTCTAAAGATGCTTAATAGATACAAATGTACAGAGGATAAGTCTGCCAAAAAAGATGTGCTGAGATCATTTAGCCACTTGCAAAAAAAAAAGAAGTTTTTAACAACCTGAACTATGTCAGGTTGAGTTAGGTTGGGGTTGAGTGAGCAGAAGAGAATTTATGTTCCATGAGGGAACAAAGACACAAAGAGAAAAAAAATATTTAGATTGTGAAGCAGATAAAGTTCATCTGCCCTCCATTCACTGTTTTAGATGATGACAAAAGTAACTTTTAGATCAGGCTACTGCATGTTAGGAAATTCTAAAAATGGTGGGCTTGAAGAACAAGAAGTATGCCCTTAAAAAAAAAAGCACCAGACAGCTTGGGGCAAGCTCTTCAAATGACATATTTCTGACTATGCAAATGCTTAAGATAATTAAATTAGTTGGAAATAGAAGCAGCCTTCGTAGTCCAGGCACAAATTAAGAAGTTTTAGCTCTATCCTGAGGAATTAAAATTTGTAAAGGTACTTGATCAATACAGCCCAAGACTATATTCAACAATTTGGATAAGTCGAAAATAAAATGTGAACCGCTAAAATTGGATCTAAGGCACTCCAGAAAAATCAAACAACCAATTTTAGCAATAACAAAAGCCCCCCCAATCCTGAAACAGATAGGATGTTGATTCTTCTCTGCTATTAATCAAGTTAGCCTTAAGTTTTGACTGCTAACTCAACACAACAACCAGGAACTCTGCAAAGGTTTAACTCTTCTCTGAAAGTTGAAGGTTTAATGAAGATCTCCATAAAGAAATTAGATTGATGTCAGGTAGCTTTCTCACATTTAACTCAAAGGCCTACCTGTCGAGCTGTCAACCCAAACTTACAGGTAGGAATACAAATCAATACACCCTAAACATCAAGTCTGAGGCATATTACTGATTAAAGTAACCAAAATTTGAGATGAATACAACATGGACCCCTTTTCCTCCAACAAGACAGTGTAAAGAACAGTAAATGCCAAAAATTGATACTTACTAATGTAACATGCATACGATAAAGTATAAAAAAACATATCGTCAGTGCTTCTTCTTGATCTTCCTTCCGGATTATCTTGTATGCAACACCCCACTAACCTCGCATGATCAACATCATTAACATTATAAATGAGACTGGATCCCCTGTGGCCTGTTCTCATATTACATTTACCACAATTCTACTTCTATAATCAATTTTTACCAATTAACAGTAATGAAATACTCACTTTTTATCAGTTAACCACTCTATTCTACTACTTCTTACTCTGTCTCTGTAATATTGACAAAAAAACCACAAATCAACTTTTCTCCAGATCCAAAATACTGTAATGCAACTTCATATGAAACCTGAAAGGAGTGGCACTACCCTTAACTTTTTTGGCCATGCAAATTCACAAGAAATACTCTATTCTTGATTGAATTCACAATCACTCTAGTCACATCGAGTTCTTATAAAAATAAAAAATAGGGATATCATTATCTTCTTTTACATAAGAAGAAAAATCAACCAAACATGCCAACAACAATTCCCAAATGATAATTTTACCATAGAATCAGAGAATTTTACACAAGACAAGAGGTAATTAATACAAATTAACACTTTAACATTATTAGGCAACAAGAAAAAGAGAATCTTGAAAGAAGAAGTACTCACACAAACCTCCCCTTCAGCAGGCTCCAATGTGACAGTTCTACCTGGGAAGTCTGGAGTGCCCCTGTGATCAGTACTCCCTGCAAGAAAATCAAAACCCATCACAAAATTGATCAAAATGCACCCTTTAAAAAAAAAAGTGTGTGGAAAAACGGTTGCCTTGGTAGAAGACCCGACGATAGCCTTTGATGAAGCCCACAAGGCGATCATCATAGTGGAAGCCAGTTTTCCAAATTAAAGAACCGTAGCCAAAAACCCACATCGCCATGAGTTTTTGGGTTATAATGCGATTAACGAAATGAGATTGAGAAAGCCACTCTCTGTAAAAAGTGAGAGAGGCTGCAGAAAAGAAGAGAGGACAAATGGCCGGTTGGTAGGGGAGATATAGCCAAAACGTGCGTACAACTAACAGTAGCGTCTTTGGACGGGAAAATTGCACATTTAGAACTTCAACTTTTTCCCAATAACAGATGTAGATTGTAAACTTTTTTTCTTAGCCATTCTAATATTTTTTGGTAAAATTCAGCTATATGCAAATTTTTTCGTGGAGTAGCATAGGGCAATTTTGAAAACCAACCATGTTCCTCAATTTAAATTAACTAATCAAAGGGATTAGAGGCACAACTAATGTCCAAGGAGTTCAGTGTTTGGATCAATTTTGTTTTGTAATGCATTCGTGATGAAAGAACATCACATGTACAAGGTAAAAAAAAGTGTAATATTTTTTTAAACCTTTAGATGTGTTAATTCCTATAATTGATGCACATGTGCCCACATGCTTGTGCACGTGTACTCGTCAGACAAATTATGCATTTAAAAGAGAAAAAACACCAGCTTGTGATGATAGGAGTTTGTCTTGAACTCCTACTAGTTTGTTGATTAGAAGAATAGAATACACAAGGAAAGATATCAAAACCTTGCATATGTAACATGTATTGGGTCTAATCTCATGTTACCTTTAAATGAGGTTAGGGAAGACAAATAGCCATAAGTAGAACTACCATGTGATCATATGAGTTCGCTTTGGAATTTATATCCCTCAGTACATGGAAATGAAAAGTTCTTTTACATCACTTATCCATTTTATTTGGAGAATGAACCTATCAATCTTCCAAGGAGCTTGAGATAATATTTGCACAATATCCGCTGGAGTTTTGATTCCAATTCAACTATGACCAGATGAAAAGCATGATGAGTACAAAGCTTAGTTTCATCCAAAACAGCAACTGATTATACCTCCATCTTACATTTGATGCCATGAGATGAAAAACCAAAATAAGCTTTGCTGGTGTGATACCGGATAATTGCACATCGGCGCCTGATAATCCTAACTTTCCCTTTTGGCCTGCCATTGAGATGTGCACAAGGATAATCACGACCTACAACTTATGTGGCTAGTATTTGCAATGTGTTATAGGAGTTTATGACACATTTGTGTTAAATCTAGAAGTGACCAATAAGAAGATGATAAAATAAAATTTATTAGAAACAAAGTACTTCTGCTCCACTTTGTTAGTCTTATTTTCTTTTTAATCCATCCCAAATTACAGTACATTTTCTAATTAAAAAATATAGTTAACTTTTAACTTATCTAAAATATCCTTATTTAATGTATTTTGTTATGAGTATAACCTACCTTATATAATAATTATTTTAATTCATGCCTTAAATATTGTAACCTTCTATTAGTATTGTTGTTGTAATTAATGTAAAAATATAATGATTAGCCATACTCCTAATATTAATGTAAAGGTATTTTAGGAAAACATTAGGCTAGATTTACTTTTCCAACAAAGTTAACTAATTTTTCTTAGCTCTGGGAAAAAAAAGAATGAAAACTATCAAAGTGGAATGGAGGACCTATTTTCTTAGGCACATAGGTATCAAGACACGGGTCGGACGACAAGAGCAAGGTTAAAGCAGTAAATTAATGAGTTATTAGTTCAACGAATGGGCAAATCATGAATGTTCAACTAGTGAGTCAGTAAAATATAATTTTTAATTAAATGTCATATTTTATGATTATCATTGTGACATATGGTACAAACATTAAAAGAGTACGTTATAACAACTATTTTGTTCGATTTTAAATGAAGCATTTTAAGAGGTACAACAAAATAAATTTAATTAGCAAACTAAACCAATCTTCAAGTGTAAAAGTTTAATTCTATTTAGTTTTTAACTTTCAAAATCAAATTTCATTTGGAGTAATTATTGTCTTGGAGTAATTCTATATCATTTAGGAAATTTCTTAATTTTTGTGATATAGTATGAGGAGTAATAAGCTTTAACAAAAGATTGTAATAAGTCCTTGGATGGAATATCAAAGGGAAAAAGAAAGTATTGAAACAAAAAATGGAGGACATTGGAATTGAGAGAACCAATAAAATTATAATAGCCTTGAGCCAACACCAAGAAAGTTGGGAGCCTTTTGTTCCTTAGGACTAGCCTAGGACTCAAACTAGTAGTCGGCTTTTACTCGTGCCACACTCTAATAAGACTTAAAAGGATGAGTTGACTACTTCATTATAAAAAACAAAAAAAAAGATGAGTTGACTACTAGTTGTGTTTTGGCCCATCAAACTTTCGGCCTTTGGCACAAAAGGAGAAAAATCTATTTTTCGTTTCTAAACTCTGAATCAGACACATATTTCATCTCCAAACCTTTCAATAGAATACATTTAGTACATGAATTAAAAATTTCTGGCAACATTTAGTCCAAAAACGGTAAATTTCTCAATTTAGACAGAGAAGGCCACATGTGTGTTATGTGGCCATTAACAAAAAGTAAAATATCGGTCAAAACCAACGAAACAAAACCCACCATTTTACTCTCTCTTACCTTTGTCGCTTTCCATCTCCAAATTTCCCCTTTTCACACCGATTGCCAATTTCCATCCTTAAACCCTAGCTTCTAGATCTACAATCTACCAAGAAATGGAGTAGAGTTAATGGAGTAATCCACCATATCAAGCAACAAAACTTCATCTTCAATTGGTACTTGCCCTAAAATGAGTTCGCGAAGCTCAGAATCCTCTATTTCGTTCAACAAGGTGATCCAAAGATTAAACCTTTCTCCAAGATTAAACCTCAAGAGCTGATTTAGGAAGATAAGGAAGCAAAATCTTAGATATTGTCTAGAAGTTTGGTCATTAAGAAAGGAGAGTAGAAAACCTTACACGTTCTCTCTTTGAGGTCAAGTTTATGGTTTCTCTGTCATTTTTTTATTTTCTCAAAAACAAGCTCCTCTAGTTAGAAGTCATATCTTACAAGCGTATATTTAGAAGCATCTAAGGAATCCGAATTCCTATAGGATTAACTTAAGTGGCTTTCTTATGGAGTATGATTTCAAGTTTTCTAGATAATATATTATTTTAAAAAACTTTCTTATTTGTCATACATCGCTGAAGTTTAATTCATTGATCTTAGGAACTAAGTTATAAGTAATAAATTCTTATCATTCATGTCCTGCTTGAGTTCTTTTCAATACCATCAATGAAATTCTTCATATGTGTAGCTAATTAGGCTCCCAAACACAGTGACATAAAGTATAGGTCATAACTCTTAGTACTAGTAAAGATTTAGATAAATTAAATACCTTTACTTTGTCATTCATTTCACCAATCATTCAACTCACATTTATAAATCAATAATATCATGACCACTCAAGTGACGAGAATAGTTAAGTAGATATTTCTATCTTTCTGTAAGTGTTTTTCAAGTTATTAATCTTTCACTATACATATCTCATATTAGTGTAAAGTATGAAATTTGTACCAACTTTAATATGAGTAATATTATTTTTTTATTACCAAAATCTAACTGTCATGAAGAAATAGTTAGAAACACCTTTATATGACCTTTTCGTTTATCCCTTCTTTCGTCATGACTATAGTCTATAGCTAGAAATGGAAATATCTTTTCGTTTAGTATAACTTTCCATCCAAAGTGATAAGAAAAAAAAATTTGTCATTTGTGTTTGGTACACAAGTCAAAATCAAATGTTTAGTCCCTTTTCAATGTTAGACATAATAAAAATTTAGATGCCAGCAAGGAATATAATCTTTATAAATTTGACATAATAATGTTATATGCGTATTTATGTGAAATTTTAAAAGATTTTTCTTTAAGAAAAATTGAAGGTTTATATCTAATAACTTCAATTGTAATACTTGATTAATTCAACAATTTGGAAATTTATTTTAAAGTTTTGTATTTGTTAGCAATATAATTAGCAATGCAAAACAAAAATTATATGAAGTCAAAAAAATATATTCTATTATATTCAATTTTCATTTCTAATATAAAATTTAATTTAAAAAAATTTATTACACGATTGTTCAAAAGTAAAAAAAAGGAAAGTATTTTAAACATTTATTTGCTATCAAACATATATAAAAAAGGGCAAAATTATATCAAACATATATAAAATTATCTATTAAATAACTATAGTCAAACCATTAATTAAACTCATAAGTATCTTAAAATTTGGTGATGAAAAAAAGATGTATACAAGGATAAACTTGACATCCAACTATTTTGGCCATTCTAAAATGAAGTTGGGAATGAGTTTTCCTTGAATTTTTTTAGTGAAATCTTTATTGGAAATTAAAAAAGGCACTCTCTGTGGAAAGTGAGAGAGGCTGCAAAAAAGAAGAAGGGAGATGGCCAGATGGGAGGCAAGTATGGCCAAAACATCCGTACCAACTACCAGTGTCTTTAGATGGGAAAATTACATATTTAATCCTTCAACCTTTTCACAATAACATATGCAGTTTGTAAACTTATTTCCTTAGCCATTTTAATATTTTTAGCCAAAATTCAGCTTGTTAGGTCTGGTTCCAAAAAATTGACCAATAAGAATAATATGGTTCTTAACAACTCAATAAAGACAATAACAAATCAAATAAATTAAACAGTGAAATATATAATTTTACGTGGTTCGGTCAAATTGACCTACGTCCACGGACAAAAGAGAAGCATATTTATTATAACAGAAAGAAAGTGCAAAAGAGAAAGTACAAAACCTAGAAAATAATTCCAAAGCCCAAAAGACATATAAAATTGTAAACACAAAAGAGTCTGAATAGCACAAATTGTTTAATGGCCCAAAGGTCCATAACTTGCTCATTTTGTTTGATACCTAGCCAAAACTCCTCTCAAAACAAGGCATGAGTCCCTTAAAACTCTCTTGGGTTGGTGCCCTTAGTATACTTAAACTCATTTAAACCCACTATAGTTATAACAACCACAAGGAGAGATTTATTTATAAAACTCCCTATGTGGGATGCAAAGACAAACTCAACACAGTTAAATGCAAAATTTTTCATGTAGTTGCAGAGGCAATTTTGAAAACCAGCCACGCATGTTCCTCGATTTAAATTAACCATCC